GAAGGATCAGGGGAGCTGGGTGAGTGCTCAGTCTAAACAATGGCTTCAGAGTCAGGGCTGTGATCATACTCAAATTAATTTCAAATATGCACAGTAACACAAGAAGCAATTTGCATAAGACGTCACATGGAGTTGCATACAATTTCGCATATTTAAACAAAGTACAATAAAGCACAGCTCGGGCGGGTATGTGAAATCATTTGTGCAGTGAACCGTGCACACAAACGACGTACAATTATCACCAAAGAAGAAAACAAATGGCAGCAACCACCCAGGAGGCAAAGTGAGCTCAGAAGTTGTGAAACACCAGCTTCTTCGTTCATCCACCATCCCGATGGATGCTTGGAGTCAGGTTATCATGCACTTCTTTTCCAGCAGGCCCTTCTGGTGCAGAGGATGGTGCTCCCTGGTTCATACCACTGTTCACCCCTTCCTTCCCATTTGCATCCTTGGCTTCAGCTTTGCTAAGCACTTTCTTCATGCACCATTCTTTCTGGGCTTTCCAGTGCATAGATTTCCAGGTGTGAGGGACTCTCCCCTCACCAGACACTGCTCCAGTACATGCTCCAGGTGGTACTGACCTTGCCCTTTAGTGGCCAAAAGACTGGCTCTGGGAGCACAAGGGCAGACTCTGACAGCCTCATTTTTGCTGGTCTCAGTGCTGTGGTTGTTCAGAGCATAATCCCTATGGCTTAGTTCTTGGTACCTCTGTAGGTCACATGGAGTGGACTCCATCTCAGCTCCTGGAAAATGATGGCCAGACAATTAACATAGATAAGGAAGCAAGAAAAGGGAACAGCATTCCTTAGGTGGGAATGTATCATCCTTTGGAGCAAACATCAGAGGGCTGAGACCTTTAAACCTGCAAAAGGGACTTTCAGCCCCTGACCTACATTTTGTGACAGTCCTGCATCTCTCACACATGGGTTTGGTCAGCACTGTAGCAGTGAGGCTGAGCTCTGAGGGCTGACCCCTGAGCATGTGCTTTCCCTTCCCTTCCCTCCCCAGGGGGCAGGGGAGGATTCAACTGCTGCTCCTGAAACAGCTGGAAGGATCAGGAGAGCTGGGTAAGTGCTCAGGCTAAATTGGGGCTTCAGTGTTGGCAGCACCCTGGTCCCCATGAGATCCCAGAGCCCTGCTTCACCCACATTGTCTTCATTTACCCAGCGCTTCCAATGCCCCCAGCTCTCAATTTCTATTCTGATCCCTGCCTTTGACCCTACTTCTCCTTCCAGCCCCATCATTAAGTCCTAGCCACAATTTCTGTTTCTGCCCACTCTCTCCTCACCCTGCCTTTTCCTGTCCTCCTTCATATCCCTTCTCCCTCATACCTCTCTTTAGGCCTTTGCTTGACAGCCTCAGCTCCCTATATTTTAGTTAGGCAATTGTTCCTCTCTGCAGGACTGCCTGAGTATGAACAAAGAGCTGTCACCAAAACCCTGGAAGAGGCAGTGTTATGCTTAGTCACCCTTTTGTCCCAGCTCTCCTCTAACTTGCAGGTACCAGGGGAAAATCTGTCTCTTCCCCATATCCTGCACTCAGAATTACTGCACTGCATAGGGAGCTACAAGTAAGCTGGCCAATGTGGGTAGATACAAGAAACCCACATTTATCCAGGACAGTATTTTTGGTCTTCAGTTTTGTCATGGAGATCCTGATGCTGGATATAAGAGAAATCTCATTATAAAGGAACCTCTTTGGGTTCCTGCTGTGTATCCAGCCAACGCAGGCTACACAGAGTGTTGGATCTCATCTGTGTGATGTTTGTGTGATTTCTGTAATATGTCACATAAGAAAAGAATTGGCAAAGCCGAAAAGTGGCATGGGAGAGAAACCACTTTGGGCTTAGATAATTCATCCTGGTATTGCCAAATGTGTCTGAATCCACATAATAAGACTGGCACAAACATCCACTGTAGGTGTATTTAACCACTGCATGCATGTTTTGGTTAATGAACTCGTTCAGGCAAAACTGTGTCCTAATCTGGCTAGATTGCCTCCCCTGACACTAGCAGAGGACACCCACCACTGACAGCCCCTTGGTTTGGGAAGAGCTCTGAAAGCTTCTGCAGTCTGTGTCACTTTACCAAGGCTTAGGGAGCACCTGAGAGAATCACGACGCCTGTGATTCTGGTGCATCCTTTCATAGGCAAACTAACAAGGAAACCAACTGGCTCCCTAGCCAGGCCAGGCTGTAACTCAGATTTGACCAGTGCATGCTGTAGGCATCACACCATGCTCCTCTGGTAGAAAACAAGCCACCCCAGGCTTGTTTACTTGCTTGTTTGTTGAACCCTTGTGGTATGTCCAGCTGTCGACAAAGTCTGAGCTTCAAACTAGACTGGCTGCCCTAGAGCATCTGCTCTCCTGCCACTGGAGCGCTAACTAGGAGCGCAGAGAAGCAGGACAGGGCCCTGGAGCAGGAACTGGCATTTGCTTCCCTGCCAGATCCCTCGTGAGGATTGATCTGAGGCTGAAGATGGTTTTGCTTGCATTCTGGTCACTCCCAGAGAAAGCTGGGCTTTGGATCAATGTGGAATGCGTCACTGAATGGCCTATTATTCACTGAGTGCAATGTGCACTCGGAGACACAGCAGCCCTCAATAAAGATTCAATTCTGCCTCTAAGGATCAAAGCAGGAATGAACCAAGGGAACTACTCAACTCTTTTACATGATGCTGAAATGAGAGGTTGCTTGTTTCAGGGCGACTCTTTATGGCAGTTTCAAGTTGTGCATTTCTCCTAATTAAATGGCCATCCACACAGCCAGGTCCCTTTAGTAGATGCAGAGCTACCTGTGATTGAAGCTCTCCATTCCCCCTGCCCAAAGGCTCACACCTGAGTTAGCACAGCTTGTCCACACTGCCATGCCCACTCCACACCCTCCTGGAGGAGCACAAGGATGCCCACAGCCCCACAGGTGTTTTCCCACCACTCCCCTCATGCCCACACAGTGTTGGGATGGCTCTCTCACAAGGAGCACTGCAAAGGAACACTAAGGAATGACATCCAGCAGCACAGGCCCGGAGAGGAGGGCAGAGCCAGAGCACATGGGGTCCTAACTTCCAGCCACAACTCTGGGGAAGGTCCTCGAGCAGGGGAGGTAAGCAAGTGTTGTTGGTTGCTGCCACATCCCTGCAATACAGACTCTTCCAGCTGACAGTTGTCTGATTTTTTTTTTCCCATAATGGGATAATTTATAGCAGGTTATAGAAGGCATTCAGCTGGAGGGAGTCCCAGATTTTGGAGATGGTTTCAAAATGTTTTTCTGAACTACTCTCTTTCCCAGGAAATCATAGTAGTCAGCAACACCTCATGCTTGGTTTTTGGCTACTCATTAGGGTGATTTTTATGTGTCTTGAAGTCATTGTACAAGTTTTGTATGTTCTTTGATTAAAATACTGCATTCATTCCTCCCATCTCTGCTGTCCTCATTCAGAATGCAACTCCCAGTGCTAGCTCCCTGCTGGAGAACAGGATGTGGGGGAGACGCTAGGGAAGGAGGTAAGGCTGCAGACAGGAAAGGAATGGAGATACTGGAAAAGGAGTCAGAGCTGGGACCAGACTGGAAGGGTGGGACATCATGGTGGAGGAGTCCATGGACAGGTGGATAGGAGTGATGTAGTGGGGAGAGGTGATGGGAGGGGACCAGACCAGGGAGTCAGTGTTTCAGGAAGCCAGAAGAATAAGGGGCAGCTTGAGTCAGAGAGTGAGTCCTAGTGAAAAAGGGAATGTTTGGCTGAGTGCCTGCAGCCCCAGCCTGTGCAGAGAGGGCACCAGAGGAAAAGCATCTGATGACAGAGAGAAGTCAGCAGGAAGGACTGAAGCTCCGGCTGGAAGCAGATGAGGTTTGTGCAAAACATCTCACTGCACCAATGAGTACAATTTCAGCACAATCAGAACCTATCCCCACCTCTGTCAAGTCTCTCCAGCTTGCCCAGCCCCAAAGCTGTTGACTGGAGAGGATCTTTCACCAAAAGCAACAGGCTGAAAGTCTCTGCCCTCCCACACTCAGCACAGGAGCAGAAGAGGGGCTGTGTGTGCCTGCACCCCAGGACAGCCACCGCAGGAGTGTGTCTGCTCTCTGATGGGCCTGGGGCCACCACCAACCCACAGAGATCCTATCCAGGGCACAGGGTACCATATGGAGGGGCCTGGCCGTGCAGCAGGAAGGGTCTTTCCAGTGGGTAGAAACCCCAGAGTCCGAGGCCAGTTCTCATCTGCGAAGCCTGCTCCTTCCTCCAACAGTAAAGCAGAGGATCAAGGACACCTCCAGTGCCCAAAGGACTCAGAGAGGACCGAGGGAGCAGGGACTGGGAACCATCCCCATCCTCAGCAGTCTTCAGCCATTGCCAGGGAGCAGCCCTTTGGAGTGGCCATCAAGCCTGGTGCGCCCCAGCCCCGATTGCCGCTGGGCTTGCGGAGTGGAGGAGTTGCAGGAGACAAGGATGCTTAATTACAGAGCAGCCCTGGAAACCAGCAACAGCAGCAGCACAGTGGCCAGGAGGGGAGGCAGCAGGGCTGTAAATAGAAATTGCGGAGGCAGCCGCGGAGAACAGAGTGAGGGAGGTTTCTGCGCCTGCAGCGCTGCAGGTCCCTCCCTTCCCCTCGGCTTCTGTCACCTCTCCCGGACACCCTGGCCCCCAGCGGGACAAGCAGCCCCCGGGAGGCAGCAGCTCCAGAGGCAGGGCAGCTGCTTTGGGTGGAGATGTGCGTGAAGAAGGGCTCCTCCTCCACCAGGCACCACCTCCCATGGAAGTGCATGAGAGCGGTCAAAGGGCCCCTTCAGTCGGCAAGGAGACCGAGGCAAGATGGACACGGGACAAATTGCCCCCTCTACTCCCAAGAAGAGAATGTGGGATGCCAGCAGTCTGAGCCCCCATCCCGATGGGGTCTGCCCGGGGTGCACCCCTCGTCCCACCCTGGCTTTTCCAGTGTGGCACCTTCCACGGATGCAAGGGGTCTGCTTTCAATATTTTGCAAAGTTTTATTTAAAAATGTTGAAACTAACATCCCACAAGATTCGAATATTTCACCACAAGGAGAAGAGAAATCCTACAAAAATATATATCACAGCGCACAAGGGCAGGGGAGGGGGAAGAGCGAGACTGAGCAGAGGAGCAGGGAGGATGGAAGGATGGAAGCCATGGCAGAACGAGACCGAGTGGCAAAGGGAGAACAAGAGAGGAGTAGGGAAAGAGAAACAGTAGGATGGGAGAGAGAACCAGGAGGGAGACCGTGGTACAGGACAAGAGTGGGAAGAGGGAAAACAGTGGGAGAGGGAAAACAACAGGAAAAGAGGAGTAGAGAGCCAGCAGGTGGTGAAGGAAGGGGACCTCTCTCTATGGTCCTGCCAGGTAGGGCCAGGACAACAGTGGGACATTAGCAGGGATGCAGCTGGGGAGCTGGAGTTTGACCCAGGACTTTTGTGCTGCAGGTCTCAGCTCTAAGGCTGTGCCACAGATGTGGTTTGTCAGAGTGAAAAACAAAACAGTTTAATTCAGAACAGTCTCAAGGTGGTCCTGTTTGAGAACTTGCAGGGAATGAACAAACCACTCCTTTCCAAGCATTTTTCTTCATCACGAAGTGGAGTGGGAAATGAAGGGACCAGATTTGCAAGGGCACTTGGGTGCCATTGAGGAAGAGGTAGATAGCCCTCTCTGAATTTTGGGATACTTGGCTGGATGTTAGCCCCGGGAAACTGGACTGGAGGAGAGGTGTGGAAACACACACCGGAGGTCTGCTCCCTGCCTACCAATTGCAACCAAGCAGATGGGAAAGCCCAAGCAGGATTTGGCCTTGTGGTCATACCACTCTCTTGGGTAAAGAGAAGGAGACTTCAGTTCCTGCTTTGAAGCAGGAACTTCCCTCCTTTCCACTGTGCTTACAGAGAGACCACCCTTGTGTTCAAAAAGTCAGGGTTCTCTAGGAGCTCAGCAGAGACACAGTCACTTCATCTCACCTTGACCCTTTTAATAGCATAGAAATGTTGGGCAAAATCATCCCAAGGTTATGAACACTTCCAGTTGGTTTCCCTGCACACTTTTCTCTCTAATGGAAAGAAAAAAAATTCTGTTTCTAATGGAAAGAAAAAAAAAATCTTTCTCCTCCATTCATCTAGAAGACAGGGGAACCTGATGGGCTGTGACTAAGAAGGTGCTGTCCTCTGCCCTGGCTTGGTGCTGTCAACCCTTCCATGTGCACATCCTACAAAATATTACCCTGGGCCAGGGTAAAGACCTCAGGCATGCTCTGGCTCCAGTCTGTGTAGGGGAAGATGGTTTATAAGGCTCCAGTCATGGAGAAAACAGATCCAATGAGATTATTTATTAACTGGAAGAAGCTTGTGTGTCCACATGTGTTCTGAGTGTTTTGTTCCAGGGACAAAGCATAGCAATGAATGTTTGGGCAGAACAATGAAGTTGTTTCCCTGTATCTAACCTGTTTTGTGTGAGAAATTGAATGACTATCATAAAAATATATTTGGCTAGGAAAATTGTTCTTAGAAAAGATGTTCATTATACCCAAGCCTCTGTTGTAAGAGTTTTCTCTACACAGCTTCACCAGCTTTCCCCTTACCACAGTATCCATGAAAGGTTTCTCTCCCTGGAGATACTTTTACCAAAACCAGAGACGTAAAAGGGGGAGGAAAAAACCCCAAACCACCGAAATCTGTTCTGTTTGCAGAATTTACAAAAGCCTTCCCAGGAGAGTGCAGGGCTTCCCCACATCAGGTGTTGGAAAATATTTTCACTGTGCCTCCTGTGGTCCCCTGCCACTTTCTTACAAACCTTCTCTCCATGCAGCATGTGGAAAGAGAAACTCCAAGGACAGCCATTGAAGTGGAAGAGTCTAAACTCTGGCCTTGTTTCAACAAATGCTGTTGATCAAAGAACAATCTAATTAATCTGGTCTGGAAAATTACTCCAACCAGTTCAAGGTATTGCAAATTGCCAGCAATCAGCAGTGCAGCCTCCTGCAGATGTCCTTCCCCAGCAGGGACGTGCCAGGGAGAGGGGGAACAGGGGCAGCAATGAATGGGGCAGCAAGCAGGAACTGCCACCTGGTCCTTCCATGTTCATCTGCAGCTTAAAAGTCCACCAAGGCCTTGCATGGATCCCGAATAAGAACAAGCTCAGTAACAGATCGATCTACGGTAAAGCACTAATATCCCCTGCTGTAAGCACAGAATCAGCCTGTGCTTAGACTAGAGATCTCCAGAGTCCTTTTCCACCTACATCTTTCAGCCACTCTGTGCTTTTAATAAGCCAGTAATTTTATTTGACCTGTCATTTTCTCCAAATCTCTACTGTTTTTGGGAAGCTTATTGTAATTTACACTCTGATTTAAATGCCCTTCACAGTGAGTCAGATGGGACCCGAGAACACCTAATGGTTCAGCTGGGTAAACGGGCAGACCAGGCCTCTTATGAAATTCCCTGTGCTTTGTCCTCTAAAGAACAGGCTTTTTATGCAGTGATAAAGGATGAAAGGCCGCTTCCCTCTCTCCAAGATTACTTTTGTCAGAGACCTTGTACGGTGCATTAGGGCCTTCAGACTGTGGGTGATTTTCCTGCCTCTGGCCACATCAGTCCAGCAGCTAAAGGTGTTTGTACACTGCAGGGGCAACCTTATCTAAATGTGCATCATTTCACCTCAGTGGTTGTCAGTGTGGGGTAATTTAATTAATTTGAAGTTGTCCATAATAGCTATTGTCAGTAAGCTGAAATTTGCCATCTCGCACGTCCTCAAAGTGACACCCATGGGTCCATGCCTAGGAAGAGGTGGAGATGCATGGATCTTGCTCACAGAGGTGACAGTGTGGCTGCCAGCCCCACAGGCCACCACAGCCCTGAAGGACATGCGCAGGCAACCGATTTGGACACATTACTTGTGCCATTGCTTTCAGTTACTAACCAGCTGGGGAACTGAATGAAGCTTCATCTGGGATCCCAGATACCCCTCTCTCATGCCCTTGGTGAGCACTGCCTTGTGGGTTTCCAGTCACCTTGCACTCCAGGAGAGACCTACCAGCAGTACATGGCAACCCTTCCAATGTTCCCAAGATCAACTCTAAACTGCTCTTGGTCATTCCAGATGCAGAGTCTGCTGCCTTGTTGCAAGTTCCTCATGCCCAGCAATGTCTGCATTCCAGGCTTTAGCTGTGTGCAGGACACTTGCTAAGAAACATGGTGAGCAGAGTGCTTCACCTCGGATTTTCTGGAAAGCATCATCACAGACTGGTGTTATTCAGAAAAACCTTGCTGAAGGAGGCTGAAGGGGTGGAGAGGGACAGCAAGGAGGCTTTCAAAGATCAAAACATTTGGAAAGCTAAAGGAATAATTTCCAACTTTAACTAGCAGGAGAAGTGGCATGGGGGTGGGAACTGAGGGGAAAAAACTGTGGACGGAGAGAGGAAGAAAGATACAAGCTGAAAAAACCCCAAAGGACTGTTAGGCAGAAAGAAACTGGAAAGATGTGAATATCTTCCATCTAAGGGGAAGATAACGTTTCCTTCAAGGAAATGGGTTGTTGAGAGGGCCCAGGTGCTCTGTGAGCCTCTTCTGCCCAAGCTTCACCCACCATTGGGACTCTCAGGAGGGCCAAGGTCTTAGGAACAGACAAAGTTGCCACCATCCGAGTCACCTGGTGGGCAATCCTGCAGCCACTGAACTCCAGACGTTCACTGCAAAGCACACGACATGGGAAGGGACACACGGAGGGTGAGGGCCCACAGGGACAGGGGTACGCCTTTCCACCTTGCCTACCCCCGATGTCAGGCATGCACTGGTGAGAGAGTCATGGAGATCCAAGTGTGTCTGTGCACATATGCTAGAAGAGGGGCTGGGGAGGTCAAGATTTCACACCACCACCAGCTGTCTTCCCTCCCACCATTCTGCTCTCTCGTCACCCTGTCCTGCGTGGGCAGGGCGGGTCCCCAGCCTTCCCCCAGCAGGAGGCTAAGGAGGCCCAGCTCATCCATTTGCCCAGGCACATCCCGGTGGGGTTAGTTAATAAAGGTGGTGGTGGTGGGCCGTGGCACAAGGAGGTTGCTTTTTTTCCTGGGGTAGCAGAGGCGGGGAGAGTCCGCGCTCGCCAGCGGTGACAGGAGGGTGGGGGAGCCAGCTCAGCCTCTCCTGCGAGTGTCACAGATTCACCAGTGGGATTCTGGGGAAAGAGGGAATTGGAAATTAGTCAGCGTTTAAACTGCCCCAACCCTCCACTCCCACTCACCAACATCACCTTTGCCCTGCCTCGGTGTGCCTGTCCCCCAGTCCCCTGCCAGCCCCTCTTGCCCCAGCTCACTGGCCACTCACCGATTGAGCTGGAATGCTGCATTCTTCCCGTGGCCACCCAGTTTCTCTGCACCCTCCTGGCCCTGCCTGGACTCCTCCGCCTCAGGTGTGGGGGTCAGGGGGTCGCCGTAGGGCCCCAGGATGCTGACGGTGGTGGGGGAGAGGTCTGTGAGGGGCTGCTGGCTCTCTTGCTGCCTCCCACTGCTCTGCTGCCCCGAGTGACGCCGGCGTTTCTGATTTCGGTCCCAGCTTTGGAGAGAGCAAGGGGTGAGGTAAAGAGACAAGGCCAGCCCTTGATGACAGAGAGGTTTGGGAGATGGACCCCACTACACTCAGCATTAGAACCCAGCGTGGCCGAGTGCCAAACCTTGCAAGGAATTGCAGCACAAGATCTGCAACCCTGGGACAAATGGGTCCCAAGCCCACAGTCTTCCTGTAGACACCAGCCCAGTGAGAGCCTTCATTGGCCCAAACCCCACTCACCAGAACTTGAATATGATTCCAGTGGCAACCAGGACAATGATTATGGAGATGGTGATGGTGACGTACAGCTGGGGGTCCACACCTGCGAGACAGAGGAGTGCGGCTTGTGATGGCCACTCCCTCCGGTCCCCAGAGAGCAGCAGGGCAAGGGGAGATCCCTGAACTCCCAGAGTTCTGCAGAAGGAGCTGCTCCTGCAGGGGACGGGGGGTGAAAGAAGCAGAGTGCAGATTTACCTTCTCCCCGGGGCCCGAACAAGAAGGGCCGCAGGGTGGCTGGGGTCTCGCGCAGGTTGAGCCCCGCGTTGTGCAGCAGCGAGTGGGAGTTGGGCTGCGCCGTCGCCATCCCGTGCGGCGAGACAAAGGTGTATCCCAGCGGCGGGAAGCCCGGGTTGGCTGAGTTTGTGTCCCCTCCATCCTCATCCGACACCGTGGGACCCCACACGATGGCCCAGGGGTACTGGGAGGAGGGCATGCCGTCCTCGAAGCCCGAGGGCGTGGCGGGCCGGGCCCCCGCGGCCTGGCGCCTCAGCCGCACCACGTGCCGCAGCTCTGCTCCCCGCGCGGGCAGGGCACGCTGGCGCGGCGCGGCCGAGCGGGAATCCGAGCGGGAATCCGAGCGGGAATCCCGCTCCGGCTGTGAGGTCCTTTCCCAGATGCAAATGGACCGTGGGGCCGAGGGGCTCCGGCGGGTGCAAAGAGGCCGAGGGGCTGCTGGGCCCCGCGAGCGAAGAGACCATGTGCCAGGAGGAGGGACGGCCAAGACGACGAGCAGGAGATGCCACAGCTGCAGGGAGTGGATGCGGGAGAGGAGTGGAGGCATCCTGCTGCGGGGTGGGGGGAAGAAGAAGAGAGCCTGATCTAAATGTTCCTCCTTTGAAAGGCCAAGCAGCCGGGAGCAGCCCACCACCCACACTCCTGTTTTCTTCGCGCCTCACCTGCCAGTGTGGGAAGCTGTGAACCTACCAGGCACTGGGCTCCATCTCAGATGCAACAGTGTCTTTGCTCAGTCAGGATCTTGTCTCATCTTCTTCACTGGGAACCAAAAGGGAGGGGTGTCAGTGTCCCCTCACGCAGTGGTGACGGCTCTCTCCTTGCAGGCAGCGTGTGCCACCCCAGGTGAGCTCCCGGCCCCGGCTGGCAGGATAAGGGGAGTCCATGCACACACGTGCACCCTCTCCTGCTCCCATGCCCCCCATGCACGGAGGTGCATCGTCCCCACCCCCATGCCAAGTCCCCCCAGAAACACATGCCTTAGCATATGCTCACAAAAGCAAGGAGCGATCTCTGGAGCACACGTGCCCAGGCACATGCGCAGCTTCCTCAGGGACTCTCCCGTCTTAGGGCCGAGAGGGGGATTCAGCATCTTTGTTTGCTTATCGCTGGAACAAGTTGGAATCTTAATTCCTGTGTTTATTTATAGTGTGGAGTGTGTAATCCATTTATTAAAAAAGAGCCTCTTCATTGTGTGCCAGAGCGAGGGAGCGAAAGGGGAAGCATGAGAGTGGTAAAGCAAGACGACTGAGAAAGAGTGAATCAGCGAGAAAAAGTCCAGCCTCACTAAAGAATTTAAGAGAAAAAATATCCTATCAAATATTTAGTATTTACTTTCCTCTTAGCTAACATGAATTTACCTTCCCACACTCTTAATGTCCTCTGCACTGTCCCATCCCTCCCTTTCTCCTCTATTCCTCCCTTTTCTCTCCCAACTTCCAATGACTGAGCAACAAAAGCACACAGCGAGGTCAGGTCCTCTCAGCGGGATTTCTGCCCTGGATGCTCAGCACCCTCCGGCATCAGCCCGGTGGCAGCGCGCCTGCCCTTCCTGCTGCCTGCCCCTTCCCTTGGCCAGCCCTTCCCGGAGAGCTCTTATGTGCCTGACCCCGGATCCTCTCCGCAATCGCACGCACAGGACAAAGAAAAAAAAATCATGCGAGATGTTCAGCCTGCTCCTTCATCGTGAAGAGGAAGGCATGAATGCCGACAGCCCACGGTCATGCCCTCCTGTGGCTGCCGGGATGGAGAAACAGGCATGCTTGGCTGAGGGAGTCAATGCGGAGGCCAACCCTGCCCCTCCAGCCCTGAGCCAGCTGTGCTGCACCTCCCGGCTTCCAGGGGGTTACTGCCATCCGCCCCTGCTCACCCCATGCCCTGAACAAAAACTGCAGCCCCTCCTGCGTGGGAGGCTTCGTCTTCCTGAGGGGAGAACCCAGGGCTTGCTGTGATGTACACCTGAGAAGAGGGGCCAGGAGGAAGGGCACCCAAGACTAAGTAGCTGTCTTGCTCCTGCTGCATTAACCGGGGATATTTTTAGTTTCCTTCTGTTAAATATTTAAACAAAGTTCACAAAAAAAAAAAAAAAAAAAAGAATTGTTGGCTAATGTGCCCTGCCCCTCCCTCCGGGGCAAGATCAGTCTCTGGAGGGATCCTGAGATGAAGATGAGGAGAAAAGAGCAGCTATTCTCAGCATTTCTTTGTTCTTTGCTCCTGAACCTCTAAGCCTTGGAGGGGACTCAGTATTAAAATGCAGCTCTGCAGAGAGGCAGCAGAATGGAGCAAGTTTCTTCTGAACCCAGATACTGGCGAGATCTTGGCCATCTGGATTATGATCACGATGCCGTGGAAGATCATGTCTGGCAACAGAAATCCATGACAGAATTTATTTTGGAGCTTGAAAGGGAGGGAATTCCAAGCATGGAGGACCTCCTTGTGTGAATTCCCAGGCTGGAAGGCACACAAGTTGCACGAGAGGTTTGAAGGTGGCTTGGAATGCCTGGGGCCATGCATGGGACTCACCACAGGACAGCAGCTCCCTGGGATGAAGAGCCTGCTCTGCCTGTGGCACAGCTCAAGTCTTTGGGGGCAGGGGGCTGTTTTGCATTGGGAAGCAGGAGATGTGTGGCTGGACAGTGCCATCCCAGCAGGGATGACCTTCTCCAGGTGCAGGCAGACCTCAGTGCCAGTCCCGCAGGGAAGTGTGGCACAGTAGCGGTGCACATGTAACCTCTAGCACTCCTCCTGACAGCGATGGCTCTACCTCAGAAATGTGCCTGGGGGTAGGAATGCTGGGGTCCCTGTGCTCTCCTTGCTTGTTGGGAGATCTCATAATGGAGACATCGCTGTTCTTCTAAGCTGAGATTGAGAGCTCCAGCAATGACACCCAGTCTATGGACTTCCAGGGTTGAAAACTTGGGAATAAGATACCCTACAGAACCAAATCCTGGATGGCTTTCACACACGGTTGTCTAAATGTCAGGCCTATGGAGCAGATAATGTATGGAATGAGCTGAGGAGGGGTGAGCCCCCGCACTGACCGCCTCATGTGCACGTGATGCCGAGGAGGGGACAGCCCACACATGGGGGTGCAAGCCTCAGACTGGAGACACTGCTGTGCATGGGTTCTGCTGCCTAGAGTGAAGAGCTGGTGATTCCCGATGCCCCCACCCCAAAGGTGGCTCCAGATGAGTGCAGGAATGCTGCAAAGTTGGTTGGTCTTCGTCCACACGTTATGATTTGCTGATGAGATCGTGGCCAAAGACTAGGAGTGTGTCCTGCACTGGCACACCCCGGACTGATTGTGGAGGAGCTGGGAGCAGGACGGAGGTGTCTCCCATGGCATGGAGGGTGTGGGAGCAAAGGAATGTTTCAGGTGAAAACACCAAGCAATGCAGGCTGTATTCCAGCGTGCTTGGAGCGTTTGTGTTCGAAATGGAGCATGGATGTCCCTGTGGATTATTGACTAAACAGCAGACAAAGCATGTCTGGGGCACTCTGCGGTCAGCCACCGGCAGCAGGATTGTGTCCTGGGCACCGACCCTGCTGTGTTGGAGGGCAAGAGTAGCACATGCCCTTTGTTCAGCTCTGGATGCAGCTCCCAGTGTGGATCCTGAATAAACTGCTAGACCTTCAGAGCAGAGGACGGGATGCCAATGCTCTCACTACCTGTGAGTATAAATCCCACCTTATGCCATTCAAGAAGCCTTTGTGTGCCGGAGCAGAGATTTCTGCACACTACCTCATGGCAAGGCTCTTGCTTTCATATGTGTTTCCCAGGTCTAATGGCAATAAAACTGGACAGGGCTACTCCCAGAGTCTGAACAGGAAACCTGTATACTTTCACTCTAGGTACAGAGCCTTCATCTCAGCGTTCTGGTCCTGTGATGCACAGATGACAGAGTGTGAATGACAAAGCTATTTCCCCGGGGCACTTCACTGAGCTCAGTTTGTGAATCTTGGTGCTTGAAAGCAGTGAGTAAGAATTACACTGTTCTTTGCTGCTGCATATGGACCCCACCATCACTCCAGACTGGGGCTAATCTGTTAGGAGCTGCTCTCATGCATTTGCAGGATGGAAGCATGAATCCTGCTGCTGTTCCCCACACCCATCTGTGCTTCCTCCCTCTTTGTAAGTCTCCTGCAGCATGGACCTGCCGCTGCTGGGACATGAGAGAGCAGATCACAATAGCCATGCCCCAAAGCATACACAGCAGTTCAGTAAATTCCCAGGGGGGCTGGGAATTTACATCCTACCTAATGACTAGGATCAGAGCCTGCTGCACTCCTGCTCAGACCAGGGAGCTCGGAATAAACCCTGAATGTGACACCCTGGGCTCTGGAGTTCAGATACTACTGTGCCCCAGGAAAGCCCTAGGATTCGCTTACTCCTTCTCTGTGTTCAGGATTCTCGTGTACCTTAGTGCCATAGATAAATCCTATCCAAATAAAAAAGGCATCACAGGAATAAAAGAACCAAGGTGCCAGCCGTGTGCTGTAGCTCCCTCGCATCAAGTGCAATCTGTAACCTTCTGTTACAAAATGCTGAAGTTTGACAAATTCAAATGAGGAACAATACTATTAATAAAGAGGGTCACACTCCAGCACAATTCACCTAGGCAGGTGGTGTGTTCCCTACTGCCTGCAGCCTTTGCCTGGCTGTATTCCTAAAAGAGATGCTACAGTTCAATCAGAAGTTATGGGCTTGGCGCAGGAAATTAAATTGGTGAAATTCTCTGGCCTGTGCTCTGCTGTAGGTCAGTCTCGATGATCAAAATGGTCCCTCTGGCCTTAAAATCTGAGAATCTCACAGCTTTCTCAATGCCTAGCCGAGATCAGCTCTGACTGGAGAGCAGTTGGATGAAGCCAAGCGCACACAAGCCGCGTTAGTGAGGAGCGGGTAGAGGCTCTTTCCATCCGGGGATGGGAAAAGAGTTGCACCCGATTCTGTCTGGCTCAACTGGCAGATGATGATCTATCTGTATTTTTGTAACATCTAGAGCTTGACTGCTGTGATACTGTGCCTCTAGGAATGAAGCTGTCTGCTCTCAGAGCGCTCCAGCTAGTTCAGAATGCAGCAGTCTGTTTGCTCGGCAACTCAAGCTGCTGGGAATGCATCACCGTGCCCCTCTGCACCCCACATCGCCTCGCCTTTGAGCACAGAGTCCGGTTCAAGGTCTCCAAACCAGCATTCAAAGCCCAGCATGGGACAGGCCCCAGTGACCTAAGCAATCAATCACCTCTCCTTATGCAGCGATGACCTCACATGACGGATATATTCCACTGGAACAATGAAATTGCCAACCAGTTTGGGGAGAGGGGGAAGGGATGGAAGAAGGGTAAAGAGGCTCATGACCCTGAAAAATGGAACATTCACAAGAGCTGGGCCAAGATTATGAAACTTACTGCTGGCTGAAATAACGCTCACCATTAGCAACCCCGCAGCACCGAGAGCTTCATGCAAATCCTTGCTTCGCCCAGCTCCCCCACTGCAACGATTCCACTCAAAATAGTGATGAAAAAATCAAAACAAACCTGAGGAGGACCCAGCCCTCCTTACAGAGAAGGAATGCTAGGTTGGCTGTCATTTTTTAATCTCCCGGCCAGCACTAAGGGCTGTGGTGACAGCTACTGATACGAGACTGTGATCTGGGACCACGGAACCTAGCAGCTCTCTCCAAGCACTGAGCAGAGCGAGTTCAGGCACTGGCAGCAAGACCCCCCCAGCACTGCGTGATGCCCTGGGCATCACCACACCTGTATTTTTCTCAGTGGCCATGAACACCCCGGAGTTCATGGTCCAAGAGGCAGAGATGCAGTCATTACTGGTGTGGCAGCAGGAAGCACGAACCCCGGCGTTGGTGAAAAGAGGTTATGTATATGCCCTGCTGTATTTGGCTGGGTGGGGACAGGGAAGGGGAGGAATCCCAGAGCAGATGACCCAGGGAGACAATTCTGCTGCACTCAGAGGAGTTTTGGCAGCTGGGACTGTGAATCCGAATGCTGGTACCCTGGGGTGGAGATGCCAAGCCCATCCAGGGAAAGAGTTCCCGCTATGAGTGGGGCTGGGGGCAGCACCTCCCAGAGCTGGCTGAATTTGGGGGCTGGCAGCTGGAATGCAGTGGCTACGTCAGGCTGCTCTACCTGGTGTCTGAGGCTGAGAGGGTTGGTGGCAGCACCCAGAAGGATCCAGCAGGATCCTGGAGGGGCTGACACTGCTCGCCCTGAGTCAGTGCAGGTCCTGCAGCGTTCAGTGACTTGCCGATAGGAATTCCCGTGCCAGGCTTCCAGGGTGAGCACTTAGGGGCTGGGTATGACGATCCTAGGCTGGGGCAGAATGCAGGGCTGGAAGGGTGATGCTGCATTTGGATGTTTTCATAGCAAGGGAATGGGCGTGTGAAGCCCATCAATGGTCCTCTGAGCTTAAGTCTCCCTGCATTTGGGAACTGTGAGTGTGGCCCCATTCCAAGCAGCACTCTAGGATGCCGGTCCCCTGCCATCTAGTGCCTGCCTGCAATACATGTCATGAGTCTGACAATCTTCTGCCTCCCAGTTTCCTACTGTTCCCGGGCATCCAAGTGCTCCAAGTGCTGAGTCTCCACATCTGAATTGCTCTCTCTTGCGTGGTGCACCCTTGGCCAGGCAGGAGGTGGGATTGACCCCTCTGTTTCCTTTCTCCAGCTGCGCCAATTTGGCTGAAGTCGCCTTCCTCAGCGCAGGCTCCAGTGCTCCAGCACAACAGGTCTGTGATGGAGCCCGGAGCTGGAGGGTAAGAGGCAGCGATCCCTCGGCTGTGCCCCCTCCCTCCCGGCACCGCAGGCATCCCCTGTCCCCGACTAAAAGAGGAGGAAAAGGAAGGGGGAGGAAGGAGACAGCCGGCTGGAAGGAGACAGAGCACTAGATCGGGAAAGGGAAAAGAAAAAGGGGGAGAAAGGACACAGGGAAGGAGACGGGGAGAGATGACTTGGAGACGGGCATGAAGCCCCCCTCCCCCGCGCCCCTGCAGCCCCGTCCCCACTCTGTCCCCCAAGCCCGGGCCGAGAGGATGAACTTACCTTGCGGGGAGACGAGTGGGGCGCAGCCGGGGCGGCGGAGCACAGGGCTGGGGGAGCACAGCTGCTGCTGCCCGTGCTTCTCATGGCCAGGACGAAGGAAGGAGAGGAGGAGGAGGAGGAGGAAGAGGAGGAGGAGGAAGGTTTGCTGAGGCTGAGCCTTGGCTGAGGGAGAGGGAGCGAGAGATGCCTTGAAATAAACAGCTGCCGAGGACTGGTCCAGCCCCTCTTTCTCTCTCTCTGTCTCTGTCTCTCTCGCTCGCTGCCTCCCGTTAACCCCATGGCTGCTGGCACGGGCGCGCCCGGCACCGTGGCCCCGCTGCAGCCCGCGGGGGGCGCCGGGGCGGCCGGGCGGGGGCAGCGCGTCCCCCCGGCCCGGAGCCCCCTGCCCCGGCGGCCGGCCGCGAAGGCTCCTCCCGCTCCCTGCCCGCCCCGCCGCGCTCCCGCAGCCCCGCGCCCGCCGGACCTGCCCCCCGCCGCCTCCCGCTGCTGCCCGCACGGCTCGGCTCGGCTCGGCTCGGCTCGGCTCCGCTCCGCACCCCCGTCTCGTCGGTTATTTCGGGATCTTCACAGGAAGCGATTAGGTTGCCATGGAGAGAGGTGTCTCCAAGGGACCCGTCGCTCCAGCTCGCTCCGGCGAATGCCACCCCCGGACCGGTCCGTCCTTGGGGGCGGAGGCCCCCCGGGATCCCCCTCCCCCGGGCCGCCCCCCGGGGCTCATCCCCGCCGCCCCTCGCCTTTCCGCCCCGCAGCAGTGCCCTCGGGGAGATGCCACCCCTCGGTCCCGCCCCCCGTCCCCCGTCCCCGCATCCATCGTCCCCGGGCTTCGGGCCCCCGGGCCCCGTGGCCGCCGCGGGACCGGGCGGGGGGCGGCAGACGGTCTGGTGGCCCCGGCGAGGCGCACCCCCGGCGGGGCAGGCGGCGGGGTTCGGTCGAGCCTCACGGGCAGAGCCCCTGGGACACATGGGGGAGGTAGGAGCGATGGGGAAGGGGGGGAGGAGGAGGGGGATCCTTCCAAGGTGTGTTTTACCCGTTGAGGGATCGCCCAGGTCTTTTGAGCGCGTCCCCAAGCGCGTTTCTGTCAGGGATCGATGGGATGCGTCTGGAAATGGTAGGGATGTGACAGCAAAATTAAAGAAAGAAGCTGATGTGCCTTTGAGGGGCCGAGTGTTTCACAGGGAACATCTCCCTCCACCATCAAGAACCAAACAGAAAGCACAGACCAAATCAGAAGGGAGCAGCTGAGCAACCAACGGGCGAGAGAAGAAAGTCAATGACAGAGAGACAGTTTCCACTCCAGGGCCTGAAATATGAGGAAGCAAGACAGTAATTTCCTCAGATCCTCAAAAACAATCAAACTTTTCATCATAAAGCGATGAGGAAAGACTATGACTGACCCTGGGAAAAAAAAAAATACCAGAAAGAAATAATAGAGACAGCACTGAGCTGTAACGCAACCTGCCACTGCATGAGGGATGGAAGCAGGTGACAAATGGACACAAAGTACCAAGCCTGAGCACGGCAGGATGGCCAGAACAGGTTGTGCCAACTTTGGACAGATATCTGAAGGGTCTGAGTCTGTTCTTCACTAAGCTTCCTGTGAGCTCCTGTGCCAATGAACCAGGCTGCTCCGAGCTTTCCCATGCCAGGATATTTGAGTCGTGTGTGAATTTGTGAGCATGCTTAGGAGAGTCAACAGGTTTTTCACATGTTTGGGAGTGATGTCGGTGTGTGTTTGGAGGATCAGCATGGGGATGGGGTTGTGTTAAGGCTTACTGTCACCGGGAGGTCGTGGTGTGGGAGGAGGGCACTGCGGGCAGTGGTGTCACAGCCGAGGTTTGTGTCAGACGCTGCAGCCCTGTGTGCCACCAGGCAGGCACACGCCAAACCCCCCGGCTTTTGTCCCTTTCATGTACATGGGGCTTTCTGTCAGAGATTATCCAGGCTCCTGTCACACTCCAGCCTTCTCATCTCTAGCTCTCACAGGACTTGTTCAAATCATCTGCGCAAACCCTGCTCAGTGATCCCTCACTCTCTCATGCCAAGAAACCCCCTGTGCAGACATGGTGGAGCAGCACAAGCCAGCCTTCAGCTTGTCTCGTCCTCTGTGCTTCCTTCCCTGCTTTCTCACCTGGAAGTAGCAGAGGGTAGAAAGCTCTGGAAGGGGCTACATCAGGCACACAGGCTCTCTCTGACCTTTTCAAATCCTGACGAATGTGTTTAGTATAATTGGGAAGCACAAAACAGAGGAGAAATTTCAACCAGGGAAAGGTCAGCTAAAGGGTGAAAATCCAAATGACGCAAACACTGAAAATCCCCCTGAAGAGTAAAACTACAGAAGGCAGCAAAAGGAGTCAGAAATATGAGAGAGGACAAAGAGCAGGATTTTGCAGGGACCAAGGAAACCTTGGTAGATATGGTGGGGGGAATCAGGAAAGCTGTCGAGACGATGGGAACAGAGAGCTCAAGGGCTGATGTCACTTGTACCTCACTCTTACGTGATATAAATTGAATGCCTTGTTTGGTTTCCTTTTCCAAGGAAAGCTAATGTAAAATTACATGGAAATTTGAGGGGAGAGATGGAATCAGGTGTTACTGGCTGTTATTTCTGTCTGGCAGTGATCACGTACAGATCATTTACACCCAGGAGTCCTGAGCCCAGGCAGGCCACTGCTGCTGGTTTTACTGTTGTTTCCTAAGGGAAGAGAGACCCATGTTGTTGCCTTGCTACCTGCAGAATCCTGTCTGTCTGTCTTTCTGTTAGTTGCCATGGATTTGACAAAATGACCAGATTCTAAAAGGTAAATAAGCTCCAACAAATTGTATGAAAAACAGCAGCCTGACAGAGGAATGAGATGCTTCCAATGCCTGTGCTGGAACAGAGCCTGTAGCCATGCTGCTGGGCAAAGCCCCACAGGTCAGAGCAGCCCATCCAGCAGGCCAAAAGATTAAGCAGAAAATGTTGGGAAAGCTGTGTTATTTTAGAAATGTAGCAAAGAGCTCTGATCTATGTAAAAAAAGCGATGTAATGTTAGAGAGTGGTGGGGGAGCCCACTGATGTAGACAGTAGAAGAAATTGCCCCTCACAGATGTGGCAAGCTGTGGAAGGGGTGCCATCAAGAGACCACAGCTGAAGGTATGGCAGTGGAAAGTACAAAACACACAGGAAAAAAGTCCACAGAAAACCCAGTTTCCTCTGCCCTACTGCTCACCAAACAAATGGTTAATAAGCTTTGGAATATCAGAGACATCCCAGAAGACTGGAAGAGAACTGTGCCCTGTGAATATTTGTAAAGAGCAAACAGAAGACCTGAAAAATTCTAGGCAAAGCAACAAAGAGCTGATATGAGATTCTCCAGTTAATGCCAATCAGCCTGGTTTGGAGGAAACTAATCTTGCTGCATAAACTTGTTTTGTTCTTGTCAGTCTTTGATGTGACTACAGGTTTGTTTGGGAAAGGTGATGGCTTAGATCTATCCAGGCTTCTGGAAGTGTTAATTTCCCAAAGCATGCTGATAAGAAAAAAAAGTGTTATGCAACATTAACAGAGCAGGAGGTTAAGTGAGCTGGTTAACTCCATTTAACGCCCTGTAAACACAAAGGAGGTCATCCCTGGAAGCCCACCATTGAGTGGCAGTGTTTGTCATGTGGATGCCCAGGAAGGAGTCCCGGGTCAGGTATGACTCACCATTTTATTCAGTGCTTGGTGAGCAGATATAGTTCATTCTGGCACAATTTACTGAGGGCACAAATATTGTTAGAGTGTTAAAAATAATGAGGATAGGACCAGGACAGAGTTGACCTGCCCCTTTCAGTAAGGTGGTCATTCTTATAAAATTTCTTATAAGAGTGTTGAGAGCAAATTGTACAGCCACGAAAAGGAAAAAAAAAAAAAAGCCCATGTCTACAGGAAACAACTTCCAGTCCTGAAAAGAGGTGCTCCAAAAAAGATGTGGGGGTTGTAACAGGCAGAAAACTGAACACAGAATCAGTGGTCCAGGCTGCAGCAATGAGTCTGAAGTGATTGCTGTCTTTGTAAGGACAGAAGTAAGGATGGCAAGCAAGGAGACGATTAAACCTCTCTGTGCGTCTGAGTAAGTCTCATGCTGGAAAACTGTACAGTGCTTTATGCTCCATATTTTAAAAATAACTTTGAATCAAAGGTGATCTGAAGGCTGGAGATCTCAGTAATTTAAAGAGGTCAACCTGTTTAATATATCAAAAAGCAGAACGAGACATGACTTGCTTGCAGTATCACTCCTTTCCTGGAGAAACTCTACCAAATATTCTGGCAGAGAATAACAAGAGCCAGTCACTGGAGAGTGATTAATCATAGAAACAAACTACCTAGTGAAGTGCAAGATCCTCTCTCTTCTGGAGTCTTTGAATCACAACCGGAGGCCTGTCTGGAAGACAGTTCCTGGTCTGCAGAATCCTGAGGGCTGTGAGAGCAGATCAGAGGAAGAATTACCATGCAGTTACCCTCAAGCAGCTGATACTGGGCTGATTTGAAGTGTAACCCCTGTGTGCATTAGCCCAGTACAAACTAAAGGGTTAAAAGCCTTCTGTATCATGTTGGTATCCAAGAGAGTCATGGCAGCCTCCCTTGTCCTTACAGTGTTTTTGTCTCAGAGCCCGTGTTACACACAGTTGTGAAAAATCGTCTCATGAGATGTGACTCTGCTATGTTTGGAGAGGGACTGGTGAAAAAAATGTCTTCAGTGTTTTGACAAGTTATTTGGATTCTGTGGTGGTGAAGAAAGGAACAACCTAGAATGAGCCCGTACAGCTCTACAGCTTTAAAGTGGGACAGTGAGTAGAGAGGAAAGAAAGTGGATCCATAGCACAAACAGAATGGAGGTTTCTTTCTGTAAAGATCAGAGCGAGATCAGAAGAGAGGGATGATGTTAGGGGGTGGTTACAGCTAGGATCAGAAATCCCAAACATTCAGAAATAACAACACAGAACGTCTCCGTGTCACAAGATTTATCTTAAAATTATGAAATGTCGTACAGACTTGCTTTCATCTGCACTCTTCGCCTCCTACTTTCGGCTCTTTTGGTTACATGAAAATCACATTTCACAGTTTCCCTGTGACCATAAAGATAGGTGTTTGCTTTGTGAGGAAAGCAAAAGCACAGAAGTTACTGACTCCAGGAGGCTGGGATTTAATTTCAACACCCAGCACTCCAATCTAGGGATGAGGCCAAAGTTTTGCTAAGTTGTGGAGATGTTACCCATGACTTTTGCACCCGTGAAGACAATGACCTTCTCATTTGGAGAGCACAGGATCTGAGTCATGAAAAGGACCTTCTGGTCTTCGCCCTTGATGCAGGATAAAAAAGGAGCAGACAAAAACATGGGCACCCAGCACACAGGACATAGGAGCTGGGGCCAAAGTGGAGAAGGAGCCAGAGAGAGCATCATGTAGCTAGGATGCTCAGGCTGCCAGGCTTTATCTGACTAATAATGAAAGGCAGCAAGCGTGTCAGAGAGTGTGAGAGAAACAGATCGATAGAGAGATAAAACTGAGATGGAAGGAGCCGGCAAGGGGGTGGGGAAGAGAGTAATAAAACACTACAAATCAGCAGGGTTACGTTTGAACCTGATTTGAATGCACCCTGCACTGGTGTAAGTGAAGACAGCAGGTGTGAGGCTACGGTGAATCAGGCCTAAATACAGAAACAGGGAGGGAAGAGCAGGGAGGAGATGGTGCCCTTGTCAATATTGCCCTGTAACCTGCCTTCACAGCACTCAGCCAACATTACCTGCCCTGCCTCTCCTTTCATCCTGCTGTATGGAAATATTGCTGGCTCTGAGAATACACACAGATAGACTTTCCTGCTTCCCTGGGTCATCATGATCTTCCTGTAGAAATGCCTGTTGGTGTCTTGGTCCCATTTTACCTGACTTGAGCAGAGGAAATGCTCCTCCCTGCTTCATTCATTGGGGACCCAGGGTAGCTTCCAGCAATGCCCTGAGCCACCAGGTGTGAGGCACTTTCCTGGGAGAGCTCACTGACTGTGCCCTTGCTCAGTTACCAATGGAGGATAAACAGAGAAGTTTCTTTGCTCAGCTTCAGATTTTTGAGGCAAAGGATACTGTGACATCTCAAAGCTAAGATGGTCAGAGCACATAAATGAAAATGTGCCCTACAAGAGCAGGACTGAGGGTTTGGGTGCCCTCCCCTCTCAGGGCACGTGTTTGTTTCTCTGGCCCAGCACTCAGACCTGTTTTGTTCCTTATGCCTGGAATTAGTTTTAAGTGATGTCCGCCTAATCTTCGTGGCACGATCATTACCGTTAGAAGTTCAGTTTTTCACACTGACCATCACTGTCCACACTGTTCCCTCCTTCTGTCAGCAGCCTCAGTGAGGAGACCAAACACTAAAGGAGCCTTAGGGACTGAAGAGGATGACCCGGAGCTGTACAAATGAGCTTGGGAGACAACGACCCAACTCCCCAAGGCAGCCACGGGTTATGTTTTCTAGCTCTGAAATTGTGTTTGGAGCAGAACTGTACCCCAAAGGAGCCTTCTCCATGACTCAGCCACAGCAGCTGTGTGACAAGGACTGGAGTCAAAGCAAGAGAAGAGAGTTGTTGATACTGGCAAGTAAAACCTTAACAAACGTAGACTTTACCCACATGAAGATTTCAAGATGTTACACTTATTTCAAGATGTTACACTTACAGAAGTCTGGCAAAGCACAAGTCAACTGCCTTTAATATGTGCTAAACTGATCCAGCTGAAGACCAAATCTCTTGCTGGCAGTCACGTGCTGGAGTGCAAACTTGCCCTGATGGCTCTACGATTTTAACATCCTAAAACCATGCTGCATAGATTGTATCGAGCTCCCATCAGTTTGTCGCCTCTTTTTCTTTCACGGAAAATCATTGTGGGTTTCCGAAGGAGCCAGCCATGAGGAAATTGGTGATGCGCTGGAAACTCCTGGCCAAACAGCTTAATATTGCTTATTGAAATGCGAGCTGACTGCACTCCTCCCAGTCCCCTCACAACTCACCTCTGCCTACCATGTGATTTATACAAGATGAGAAGAGCTCTGGAGGTGTGGGTGGTTTTTTCCCCAAATGACCCCCAAATGAGTTTCTATTCTCTCTCACCTGGCACAGGGAACCGTGCCCTCAACAATGACCGCATTGCTGTAACTCATACACCCACGAAGAGGTACTTAAGGTGCACTATAAACATTTCTATCCTTGTGGAGCGTTTAAACTACCTTTTTATGGCCATACCCTGCCTGCATCAGGGATGCATTTCTTGACAAGTGCGATGGTTAATGATTCAGCAGATAGTAAAGTCATTTTTTTGTAAAAATTAATGCAGTAGAGGAGGGGAGGCATGCAGGGATTTAAGAAACACACAGCTTAAATACATAAGTACAGTGCTTTGCAACATAAGATTTTTTTACATTTACATATCCCCAAAACGCTGCCCAAAATAGTGAGATCTTAATGGTGTGAAAGTAAAAATGAGAGCGATGTGTGGGCACACACAAGGTATTCCATGCACCTCTTTTAATTCTGGTGTGGTACTTATAGAATAGATCATTGAGATGTGAAAACCACCATGCCATATAGTAGTGCATCTGTTTTCTCACCAGTTATTTCAACATTTATCATAGAATCACAGAATGGTTTGGGTTGGAAGGGACCTTAAAAATCATCTTGTTCCAACACCCCTGCGGGAGGCAGGGAGGTGTGCTATTAGACCACGCTGCTAATCAGTCCTGGCCTGGAACATTTCCAGGTGTAGGGATGAAGAGCAGATATTCACCAGACTGGCAAGACCCTTAAACACGTGGATATTCACCTGGCAGCGATTGCCTTGCTGGGACACATCTCACTGTGGCTGAGCATCCAGAGGAGGGGTCATGAAAAATAAGAGAACAGTGAGCAGACGCTGCGGGTGAGCAGGGCAGGGCATGAACACAGTGCAGAATGGAGCTGAGCGCCGGCTGGTGCCTCTGACCGGCAGCGCCAAGGCACACCGTGCTGGCCCGGGGACGTCAACGCTGCCATGGCAGGGTGACAAGGGCGGCCGGGAGTGGCGGGAATAGCCCGGCATGGCCGGGAATGGCCCGGGAATAGCCCGGGATGGCCGGAGGAGGCGGCGCAGGGACGAGGCGGCCGCGGCCGGCAGCGCTCAGCCCCGCCAGCGGGGGGCGCCCTGGCGGCGGGACTGCGCCGCCGCGCGGCGCCCGGCCCGACCAATGGAGAAGCGGCGGGGGCGGGACAAGCCGCCGGCTCCGCCAATGGGCGGCGGGTGCGCGTCACACGCGGAAGCGGCCGCTGTGCGCCGGCGGTGTCGGGCGGGCGCGCGGGGCCGGCCGGGAGCGGCCGGGCCGGGGCTGCGGGGGGCGAGCGAGCGGCCGCGCCGGGCCGGGCCGGGCCCCGCCATGGCGGCCGAGGGGAAGGTGACGGGGCAGAGCCAGGAGCAGTTCCTGCTGCTGGCCAAGGCGGCCCGCGGCGCCGCGCTCGCCAGCCTGATCCACCAGGTGCTGGAGGCCCCGGGCATCTACGTGTTCGGGGAGCTGCTGGACATGCCCGCCGTCCGCGAGGTGAGACCCGCCCGGCCCCGCGGCCCCGCCGGGCCCTGCCCGCGGCCCGCCGGCGCCGCCTGACCCTGTGTCCCCGCAGCTGGCCGACAGCGAGTTCTCCCCCGTGTTCCGCCTCCTCACCATCTTCGCCTACGGCACCTACGCGGACTACCTGGGTGAGCCGGCCCCGAGCCCCCCGGCCCGGTGCCGGGGATCCCGCGGGGCGGGAAACGCGCCCAGGGCCTCCCCGGTCCGGCAGCACCCCGCGCAGCCAGGGCTGAGCCCCCGGCCCGAAACACGCCCGGCTGGGCTTTGGGCCCCAGACCAGCGGCGTGCCTGGCTGAGATTAACGCTGCCATTTGCCACCTGCCAAGGAGCATCCTGACAGAGACGTTTCTGAGGGGCCAGGGGGGGGAATTAGATATCCATTGGGATGTGCAGACCCGCATAAATAACCATGGGACAGCTAAAAATGCTGAGTTGAGAGTGGCAGGGAGAAAGGCTGCTCAGAAAAGGTCTTTTGAGCCGAGAATTGATGGGGATGGCTTGGCAAGACGAAGCACCACTTGGGGGATTGGTGTGCAGACGTTTTAAGAGACGGGTGTGGTACAGATGCTTCTGTGCAGAACTGGGAAACGAGGCATAAATTCTAATACTCCATTCTTTCCCCTGGTGACAGCTGAAGCAGCAAACCTCCCTCCCTTGACAGAGGCCCAGAAGAACAAACTGAGGCACCTGTCAGTCGTCACTCTGGCTGCCAAGATCAAGGTAGTGGCCCTGTTTTTCCTGAGTTCTCCTCCCCCCGGGATGGTCTCTTGCTAGTTACCGTCGTGTTTCCGCAGTGCATCCCCTACTCAGTGCTGCTGGAGCAGTTGCAGCTGAAGAATGTCCGGCAGCTGGAGGACCTGGTGATTGAGGCTGTGTACGCAGATGTGCTGCGAGGGAGCTTGGATCAACGGAACCAGCGCCTGGAGGTGGATTACAGCATTGGGAGGGACATCCGCAGGGAGGAGCTTAGCACCATCACCCGCACATTGCAGGAGTGGTGAGGAGGAAGCCCCCAGTACTAACACCCCAAAAAAGGTTGCAGGAGTGGCCTGTGGCTTCCCTGGATCCTTTGTGTGTCGCTAAGGCTGGGTGGTGTTGGGAGGTGACCTACTTGATCCCCTTTCCCATACTCCAATGGAAAGTAATTTTCCAGAAATAATTCCCCTGTTTGTGTCTAGAGGGGTGATGGGGATGCAGCAGCCTTTGCACGGCGCTGGCTGCTGGCAGGAGGTTTCCTGAGTGTTTATCTGTAGTTCTTAACCCAGCATGGTTTGTTACCTGTCCCCCTCCCACATAATAACATAATTCCTTGCGTTATTACATCAGTCTCCTGCCCCTGTATCTTCCCTGTCTGGCACAGCTGTCACATTGCAGTGTTTTTGGAGTTGAAATCTGCTGTCTGTGCCATTTGTCTCTGCGCTGTGCCCATTCCCTGGCCCGTTCAGCTGTGGGTCTCCTCTCCAGGTGCCAGGGCTGCGAGGTTGTGCTGTCGGGCATCGAGGAGCAGGTCAGCCGTGCCAACCAGCACAAAGAGCAGCAGCTGGCCCTGAAGCAGCAGATCGAGAGCGAGGTGAGTGGGTGCAGCAGGGAGCAGCCAAAGCCCCTCGCCTTAAAACAGCTAGAGCCAGTGTCCTGTGGTTGTTACAGTCTTTGCTGAAGCGAGGCATTCTTTAGTTCCTTAGGCCAGACCCCCCAGGGACTTCTGCCTGAAGAAGAGTCCTAAATCAGCTTAATGCTTCTCTGCAGTGCAGGGGCCTGGACAGATGTTGGCTCTTTTGCTTGATGTGAGCTTGCAGCTCTTAGCTCCAGGGCTTCCTTTAGAAACACATTTTTAAAAAACTCAAAGTGCAGCTAAAAAACCCATGGCCAAAAAGTCACAGTTTTGGGAAACCCATTATCTGTTGCTGTGCTGCTGTTGCAGGTGGCAAACCTGAAGAAGACCATTAAAGTGACAACGGCAGCTGCTGCAGCAGCCACGTCCCAGGACCCAGAGCAGCACCTCACGGAGCTCAGGGAGCCGGCCCCTGGCACCAACCAGCGCCAGGCGAGCAAGAAAACCTCCAAAGCCAAAGGGTGAGCAGTGCAGGCAGAGTGTGTGTGTGTGGGAACATCAGTGCACTTTTCTCTGTGCACTTAGGAAGGGAGATACGAACCTGAGTGTCCACTTTGAACTTTTCTTTTTCTTTTTTTTTTCCTTGTGCCCGCAGGCTCCGGGGCAGCACGAAGATTTGGTCTAAATCAAACTAGTTGGATCTCCCTTCACAACTGGGAGGGTGAGAGGAAGAGATTCGGGGGATGGAGGGGTAGCAGGGGTCCCAAGTGTGATGCTTCTGAGCTCTTCTCTGAAATTCATCTTGCCAGCTAACTCTCCTGCATGTTTGTTCTCTTTCCTTTCTCCTTTACCGACCTTCCAGGCAGCGTCTCCCTCCTTTTCATCGCAGCATTTCACACTCTGAGCTTCAGGTTGTACGCGTTGCTGTTTCCCCAACCGCTCAAGCCCCCGTCGCCACGGCCACGTGTGTCTCTCTTTCTCTCTCCCTGTCTTTTGACAGGTCAATTTCAGGAGCCATAAAGGTGTGACAGTCACCTTGGCACCCCCAGGGCATCACAAAAGCTTGGAAAGAGGGTGCTGGTGCGCAGCAGTCGTTTTGGCTCTATGAGACACCCCTGGGATCTTTGCTCCAGGACACCGTCTTTGATTGTTTAATCTTTGTTTTGCTAGGTGGGAGGGTAGTTTTTGAAGGGATTCTTTTAAAAATATAAAAATATATTATAAATATCTATAAAACAATAAAAATATAGATCTATGGACATATCTATACAAACCTGTGCTCCTGTGGGCGGCATCTCTTTGCCTTGTATGCCAGTTCTGGAGGTTCCAAAATAAGCTGTGATATTAAGAGCCTTTGTCCCATTTTGGGGTGGAATATCCTCAAAATACTAGGTTCCCTTTTCAAAGGTAGTGCCACAGTGTCTCTGTTGGGATGAGAGTCCATAAAACAGAAATTAATCATAAATCTTATTTAAAGTGTTTCTTGTGTGGTTGATTTTCCTCTAGACTCTTCAAAAGGTGATTTTCAGGTAGTCTCAGAGGAAGGTGCAGTGCCTGAGGAAAAAGTCCTTATTTGTGTCAATACTGTGTGTCTTGTGATCCTGGGCAGAATGGAAAATGATGTGGGGACTTGCCTGACAGGTGAAGGTAACAGAGTCAGTGCCCACATGTGTGAGTTCTCACAGGATAGATGCTGCACAAGCTGTTCTCGGGTGGAAAAAAAAATCCAAATCAGTCAAAGTGACTCCTGTGAGATGCCCAGGAAAAAAACTAACTCGGGTTCTTCAAAGGATGCCTCCTGGAGGCTGGCTTGGAGCCGAGTCAGACGGGTGTCAGTGTCACACTGCCTCTCCACGACATGTAGCTGATGTAAATGTAAATTGACACCATGACTCCCACCCCCGCTTGGTTCTGCGCCTTGTGCCAAGACTAAAATTTGATTCCCTGAACCTGTATGAGCAAACCACAAAAAAAATAATTCAGTGAAGGAAAGCTGGGAGCTCTGTCTCTATGGGGCCTTGTTGGGGTCGCTGGCTGGGGTGGGTTTGCTCCTGGGTCAGCTCCCTGTGCAGACAGGTGAGAGCTGGAGTCGAGGCAATGTAGGTGTGAGCAAGTCTTGTGAAGGGGAGGGGGGTGAGTCTGAGCCTGTTTCGGTGGTAGCAAGGTGCCATCTGAGATCTCAAACCCCACAAAGTGCAGGTTTAATGCAGTATCCCTGCTTTGCTAATTCCAGGCTGCTGTAATACAGTGCTGACTGTCAGCAGGAAAGCCCTGTCACCCGAACCCATGAACTCCTAAAACTTCCCAGCAGCTTTGTGTGTTCCTCTGTGTGCGGTCACAGGGCTGGGCGTACCAGCTGGCTCTGCTGGGGACAGGGATATGCCAGCTCTCCTGGGATGATGGCTCTCACTGGCTGGGGTCTCCCAAGAGCTCAGGCAGCCTCACACCTTCCCCCCTTCTGTTGCACTTGGCACAGAAGTGCCAAGTAGGAGAGTTTTGGTGTGGAGTTGTCCAGATGGGAGACACAAATCTGGCTGCTGGAACACATGAGTGGATAGCTGGGCCAGGATTGTGTACGCCCACCTAGAGAGACCTAACGGATTTGGGAGTCTCCCTGATGAATCCTGTTCTCCCTAAGTTGTTGGGAGGGATTGTGACAAAGCTTCCAGCTTTTGTTTAAATCACCTGAGCCTTCTTCCTTCTGCGTCACATCACCTTCATCTGTCTCTGTCAGGGAGCAGAGGCGCTGCGCTCGCTGCATTTGCGATTGTCTGCAGAAACAATAATGCCCATATGTATCCGATCTTCAGCTCCCTGGGAAGGGCTAGTCTGGAGCCGAGGTGCCAGCAGGGGAGGAGGTACCTGTCAAGCACCTGCCAGATGTCTGATGCCTCACACCCTTTTGAAAGATTTGCTGCTTGCTAAGCCATTGGGGTGTGATGAGAAAGACTGAGGAGAATGGGTTTGGGATGGAGCTGAGCAGCCGGACACAGCACGTGTCCTAACAGCCACTGGCTGATGTCCAGTGGGAGCTGGGCTGGAGCAGTGTCACCTCCAGGGAGAGCTGAAGTTACCAGTACTGCAGAAGGATATTTGTGTCCCACAAGAACCTGCTGCTGTAACAGCTCTTTGCCCCGAGTGTCTCATCTCCTCTCTGGTCTGTTGGGCTTTGCGATCTTTAACCAAACTGTGGCTATTAGACACAAAGGGTCTGTTTCAATGCCCTGAATCCACAGTTTAAATCCAGGCTGCAGATCCCAGGAGTGGAGTGGAAGCCAGCAGTGAGAGTTCCAGGCCGGCTGTGTGTGATAGCGCTCGTGTGATGCCCTGTGCAGCAAAGGCCGGGCAGAGCAGTGCCTGAGCTCCGTGCCACGCACTGCCATCGGCCTTGGGAGCACAAATTCCCCACGTGGGTGACAGCAGCCAGCATGTGGACCAGCGTGGGACTGGCTGGGCTCACCACTCCAGCCCCAGGCTGTGCTGAAGCCCCAGACTTGGATCCTCCCAGCTCAGTCACAGCTGGCACAAGTCCGGCTGTGTCCTTGTGCCATACCTTTGTTACATGACAGCCAGCTCCTCGCCGTGTCCCAGGGTCAGCTCATCCCTCTGGGAGCAGCATTTGCCATAGATTGGCTTTGCTCCCCCTTCCCATTTGCCTCTGTGTACCTCTCAAGGCTGGCTGTATTATGGATTTTAGGAGAGTTTGGGATTAAACACAGCTCTGAAAGTCTTCCATTTTGTTTACTTTTCAAAGGGAGCACCTTTTAAGACCTCCATTAAGAAAAGGAAAGCTGGAGGTAGCACATAAAATTACTTCAGACCTTTGGTAGGACTGAAAAATAAATGAGAGGGTTGCAGTGCAGAATGAAAGTATTGCTGCAAATTGCCTTGCTGGATGGCAAACAGAGGGCAGGAGCATAGGTTTGCCTTTGCCCTTCACCTGAAAACCGTGGTTTTTATTTTTCTGCTCGCTTCAGCCGTGACTCTGAATTTCAGTTGGAGAAGATGTGAAGATTAATTAATTAGTTAACATTTATAAATCACTTTGAAGATGGCAAGAGTGAGGTAAGTACTGAGCATTATAAGTTTTCATTTTAAAATGTCTTTATGTCTTAACCCATTTTTTTCCAAAGAAAAGACCTGAGTGCAGGAGAACAGAAATACCTGGACACATTAAACCCTGCAAAGGAATCAGGTTTAGGGGGCTGTAGAAAAGGGTACAGAGAAATGTCCATCCCAAAATGAGGAGCAGGAGATCTGCCATCCCCAGCACAGAAAGCTCTTGCACAGTGATTCATTGCAAACCCCTCTTTGGGTACCTACATGGGGCTTTCACAAGGGTTCAGAAAAGGGAGGAGGTAGGAGAGGACCTGAACTGCTCTGTCACTGATGTCCAACTTCTGCCAGCCACCTCCAGCTGCCCTGTGGCAAGAGGAAACCAGGGATTGGGGTTAATGATGGTAATTATTGCATTCTTGGGACGCAAATTCTTCTGGGGAGCTTGCTGCTGCCCTTCTTGAAGGCTGTGAAGGTGCTGGACAGCTGCTGCCAGCAGCTTGGCTTCTGCAGCAGTGCCCATCCGTACCTGGAGGGTGGGGAGAAGTGTCACAGGTGGACAGACACTGCAGGACTTCTCTAAGGTACTCCCCATCCTCCACTGCTCTGTGCCGAGGTACCTCTGGAGTCAAAGATGGTCTTTGTGTGCTCAAAGGGATTCAATATTTTATTTACCAGGGCTGCTGTGGCTGCCCTTGGCTCTGTTCTCCAAAGGAGACCTTTGGCAGGGTGGTTTGTTTCCTGAAGAATGATGGGCTGGTGTGTACCTCAGTGCTGTTACACATTACCAAGCCTCCTTTGTGCCAGTGACACTGGCCGGGGGCACATCTCTGGACAGCAGGTTTCCTCAGGCCTGCCGGGGGGAGCAGGGAGGATGGCAGCCCTGCCCCTGCCCAGCAGCAGGACATGTGCCACCACCTGCATCCTCCTGTGAGCTCCCGGTGCCAGCTGAGGAGTGGTGCTGCAGAGGCCGTGGCCATGGCAGCCAGATTGCATCTGCTGGTCTGCAGGGTGACCGTGCATCTGTGTGGTCCCCAGAGCTCCGTGCAGGGATGCCTTGCCTCTCCCCCACCAGGGCAGTGGCTAAGTGCTCCTCTGTGCCAGGTGGGTGCCGCAGTCTGCTCTGTTGGGAGAGCAGGCACAGATGATGTGTGTGTCCCTCTGCTGCCCGTGGGGCTGCAAAGATGCCCCTAACAGCAGCCACTGAGGGCTGTGCCTGCTGCTTGCCACAGCTGGATCATCCTTCCTGGATGAGGCCCTGCCTCTGCAGGATTCTGTTGCAGAGCAAGGTAGAGTAGTCAGAAGAATCTCACGGTTCATGCTGGCTGCTGCAAATGTGTCTCTCAGATCTCTGACATCCTTCATGTCTCCTTTGTATGCCCTGGAATAGCTGCTCATTTTCCTTCTGTGACCCCTTTCCCTTTTTGCCATCCTCTCCGTGGGAGTCTGTCTGTGTTCCCACCTGCAGGGCTCTTCTTTCCTCATCCCTTTTCCTAGTACTAGTCACTGCTTAGCTGAAATACTCATAAAAACCACCTGTTTTCTCTGCTGGTTCCACAGACACCCCATCTTTTGGGTGCTTTTCTCTCATCTTCTGCAGTTTTCCAGGAGCATCCCTCTTGATCCAGTGTGGAACTAGGCTGGACTATTGTCTGCCTCCTCTGCTGGTGGCAGGCTCTTCTCCTGCCAAGGAAAGGAGTTCATTTGCAAAAATTCTTTGTGCAGTGTGCAATTATATTCCTGTTGTGATGAATTCAATAGGCAGCAAAATGTCAGCTGGATTCGAGAGCTGTGACCCTTTTACAGTAGCAAGAATGTTCAGAATTCCTGTAGCACTTGTGCACATGTTAAAAACTGCCCTGCACCCTCCTGTTCTGAGGACAAGTAAAAGCCCAGCCCCTTCAGATCAGGAGAAAATGTTTCTGGGGAGGCTTTGCCTGTATCTGCCTCTGAAGCGTTTAGCACCGGTTTCAGGATGTGGGAATATGGATGATCTCTTTGTTGGGAGCAAAAGCAAGGAGGCTCCTGGTGACCAAGCGTGATCTCTCACCACTATGGATGGTCTCACAATCCCTTGCAAAAGCTTCTCAGGTGCCAACCCCAAACTGGCTCATTTTATTGTCCCCACTAGTCCCCTTGGCAGGCTGCCCCAGAACCCAACTGCTGTAGTGGTTAAAGTTTTTTAATTTCCAGCTTAAATGAATTCACAGCTAGTTGATATTCTCTTGTGCCTGTGCCAGCCTGGCTCTAGCTGAAGCTGTTCTTCCTCCCTGGTGTTTATTTCCCTTGAGTACAGACTTCACTTTGCTTAACTAACCAAATCAGCCCCCTCGTGCACCGTGAGCTCTCCTTGCTCTCTTACTTGCTCTTCAAATAGAGTGCAAAAGTGCTCTCCTTCCTGCACTTCAAATTAG